AGCGAGACAGTGGTTCAGTGAGTACTGCCTCCTTTTACGACCTTTCTTGCTGCAGTTGTTCAGTTAACAACACGGCTGTTAAGTGAAACTGGCTTCCCCTTCCGTCTTTGCTTGTCATAAGGTCGTAAAAGGGGTTCACAGGACCCCGGGACACTGCAACCGTCATTAATATGAGTCAGTTGCCAAGCGTCTAAATTTTGATCACGTGATTCTGGGGATGCTGCAACAATTGTAACTTTGAACGAACTGTCGTAAGTCGAGGACTACCTGTAACAGAGTGGGACGGGAGCTTGGAGGTCTTCTAGTCCAACCCCCTTTCAGACACAAATGCTTGTCCAATCTCTTTTTAAAAACCTCCAGTGTTCAAGCACCCACAACTTCTAGTGGCAAGTTGTTCCACTGGTTAATCTTCTGGAAATCTAATACAAAGTCCTGGCTGCTTGGAGTGTATAGTAGTGCCCAAAATTGTGGAAACCTTTTGGGAAGAAAAGTATATTTTTGAGGTTTGATGGCTAATAACACCACTTTTTTGGGGAGGGGAGTACCATAAAATTATATATCGACGGAAAGATAATTTAATCAAGAATGTAATGCAACATAGTTTGTTCCATTATCTGTACTGTATTCTATGAAAAGTTATAGCTAAATAACCAGAAAAAGGAAACACAACTTGCTTAGGTTGATATCAGATAGCTTTCCTTCATCTGATTGTAGCCAATGAGCATGAGTGTTTAGAGAGCCAATCAGGTGTCATCTTGTTTTGGCCATGAGCCAATTAGATCCCAGTAGGATTCAGTGATTGGTAATAGTAATAGTAATAGTAAAGTTGGAAGGAACCTCGGAGGTCATCTAGTCCAACCCCCTGCTCAGGCAGGAAACCCTATACCATTTCAGACAAATGGCTGTCCAATCTCTTCTTAAAAACTTCCAGGGTTGGAGCATTCACGGCTTCTGGAGGCAGGCGGTTCCACTGGTTAATTGTTCTAACTGTCAGGAAGTTTCTCCTTAGTTCTAGGTGTTACGTATTGAAGCTGAGAAGAGGACATTTGTTAGTGTGTGATGTGATCGCTATCAAGTTGGTTGGGGTTTTTTTGTGCTCTTTCATTTAGCGAGCTTGTAAAACGTAACAAAATTAAAGGAATGGTGCAAAGAGTTGACTGGTCCCCCAGAAAGCGATGTCAAATAGTATTATTAAGCGAACAAGGCTACAGTGATAAAGAAATTAGAAGAAAAATGGGTGGAAACTTAACCAAAGGTGGCATTTCTACTGTACACTTTTCCCAAAAGGTGTCCACAATTTTGGCCACTGCTGTAGGGCCCAGGAGATATCAACACAAAGCTTCCAGCAGTTATTGTGCCCCTAACTTTCTGCCTTTTCCTTTTCAGCTCACCCAGAAAGAAACCCTGGTCACCTTGTTTGATAACCGCACGTGGGCAAAGCAGGGCTTGGCTGAAGAATTTGAGTTCGGTGGCGTTTCGGAAGCCTGGAAACACCCCCGCGCCAATGTCTTTGTCACCTTGGTGGTGTTCATTCTTATGAAGGTGTGTTGTGGCTTTGGACAGCTCTGGATAGGCCTGCCTCTCCCCAGGATGTCTCCTCTAGTGGCATCTGGGAATATGAGTGTCTTTTTCCAAAATCTGTTAGTGTTGTGGAGCCCTTGGTGCTCTCCGAGTTTGATAGTTTTCTTGCAGACGTCTCATTACCCAACTAAGTAACGTCATCAGTGCTAGAAGGGAGAAGGGGTTCTTTGTCTATATATACAGTAGCTTGTCCTGTCAGCGTTGGTGGGAGGGTTGTTTTCTTCTTCGTGGTTCCTTGATGGGGTTGTTGTTTACGATTTGATTTTGTTTCTGAGTTGGTGATTCCTTGATTGAGATATTGTTTACTGATTGATCATTGTTTAGTAGTGATCCTGATGGTAATTTCTGCTTATCTGGGTGTTAGTGTTAAACAGGGGTAATATAAACCAGGGGTCTACAAACTTGGCCCTTTTATGACTTGTGGACTTCATAATTCCCAGAATTCCTCAGCCAGCGTGCCCGGCTGAGGAATTCTGGGAGTTGAAGTCCATAAGTCATAAAAGGGCCAGGTTTGAAGACCACTGGTGTTGAACAAGGGGAGCAATTGTTTCAAACCACTTCCTCCTGTATTGATCCCTAATAAAAGGATGGGATCAATACAGTACAATCATGAGTTCTGGTTTTCTTAATAATAATAATAATAATAATAATAATAATAATAATAATAATAGTAGTAGTAGTAGTAGTAGTAGTAATAATAATAACAACAACAACAACAACATAATAATAATAATAATAATAATAATAATAATAATAATAATAATAATAATAATAATAATAATAATAATAATAATAATAATAATAATAAAGTTGGAAGGGACCTTGGAGGTCATCGAGTCCAACCCCCTGCTCAGGCAGGAAACCCTATACCATTTCAGACAAATGGCTGTCCAGTTTCTTCTTAAAAACTTCCAGTGTT